CTCCACAACCATCTCGTGGGGAACTCTAAGCGTGCTGTGGAGCCTAGCAAACTCCGCATGTGTCTTGGAGGAGGACTTAAGGGCCTGATCAGCTTCTAACCACTCCCTGTCATAGTGGAAAGATTGACGTACCCCCGTGTTGAGCGTGCAGAGTCGTACATCGACGACTCATCTCGGTTCGGTTCGACAAGAGATCTCACTTCTGTTTGTTTGTGTGCAACTGTAACTCAAGCGAGTTTCCTTCCTGCACTGTGACCATCGGCAGTGTAAGTAAAGCTTTCTTTATACAACCAATACGCTTCCGTGCCTAACTCTATTCCATCGTGGAAAATACCCACCTGACGGTCCGGGCTACTGGCCATAGCCTTAGACCACCCTCGGCTCCCACACCTCTAACATGAGCTCTCTATTTCCTTTTAATTAAAGGGAAGGGTGACAACAGGCATAATTTCAGCAACTGGCCAAAGTTTAGTTTTTAACTCATTAGCACAGATTTCTGATACAGTCTTAAGAAACTGGTGCCACATGCTGAAGCTGCAGAGAATGGCTTAGCACGCCAAGATTAAAGCTATAAAAGATTATTAGTACTTTACCCCGTCGTGCTCCATGCTGTAGTAATCCACGGTTTGGGGGCTCCCTCGGCATAAGCTGTGCCCAAGAGCCTCAGCTCACTCCATCCTCACCTCTGGTATCCAAGGAAGGAACTCTCTCTCCCCCTAGATAACTCTGGAGCAAGATACTTCCTCTCATCTGAAAGGGAACAACATCTTATAATATCAACTGAAACTATCGCATACATCTTTGAAGAGATCCAGCACCAGGCACTTTCACAGCAGATATAAAAGCCCAGAAGTGATGAAGGTTAACACAAAGGACATTTAATGTGAGGTTTACCCAAGTGACCTACACCAAAATACTTTACATTGTGGGTAAGGTATTTACCATGGAGCCCACAACAGTAAACCATATCATTTATGAATGAAGGGAGGAAAAGAGCAGTGTTTTTTTCAGTAAATGAGAAGGAAGCACCTCCCAAGAGATCATGTGCCAACTCTTTTCCTTAAGTGTAAGATGCCATTGTGAAGGTGGGCATACACAGCCTGATAGCTCTGTCTTGTCGGGGCTAGTGTTTAAAGGAATTATTTGATTTTACCCATAAGTCTCTTGATGGCCTTCCATTGTTTAGTGAACTTAGCTCCTTAAGCAGGTATAAAAGCCCAGAAGTGATGAAAGTTAGCATAAAGGACCTTTAACGTGAGATTTCTTCTTAATACACCTTAGTGCATAGAAGCATTTAATAGAAACCCTCCTCCTGCAAGTGAGAGCCAATTGGGTATTTCAGCCATGTGTGTACACTAAATAAAAAACTGTGCTATACCTACCTCTCAGTCACTACAATTAAAAGCCCATTTCTGGAATTGCAGAAAGTGTTTTGTTCATATCCCTAACTGGCTTAAATATACACAGCTCCACCAAAGTCAGCTAAGGACCTTGTTTGTGTTCTCTCTTCATGTCTGTTTTAAAGTTGCAAAGTAAGTGATGTTTGGCATCAAAGCAATTGTAGGCTCAAAACCACCTAAGGAATTGATGTGATTATCATTATCTTCTGCAGGTGCCAAAAACATGGACTAATCACATCCACCAATCACCACAACTAGGAAGACTTTTTTGGAAACTACCTGTAACAGGGAACCCTAGCCCTGTCACCAGAAGGCAGGTCCTCCCCTTTAAAGCCAGACATTTCTGGGTATGAAGTCCTGGTAAGGAAGGGGTTAAATGCTGAGCCTGGCCAGCTGGTCAGCTGACTGGAAGGGGCAGGCCAGGACTTTAAAAACCATGGGCAGAGCGGCAGTGAGAAGCGGCAGCTGAAGGGGAAGGAGTCTCCCCCAGAGCTCCCTAGAGAGGCTTGGTGAGTGGTCTGAAAGTGAGAAGAGGGGAACTATGGAAGCCCCACAGAGACGGCAGCTGCACCACAGCAAAGACTGTAGCTGATGATGGGGAGCCAAAGCACGAACCCTGCGAATGTACTCTGACATGCTGATTTCTTGGTCACATTTGCTGGTGACAGTTATTACCCACGGACGAGACAGTTTATTTTTTTTTCTTTTTGATTATTGAATAACACCAGTGGTTTGGATGAGGCTATTAGGGGAAAGAACAGACCTCCTTTTAGGGGCCCACTTTGGAGTGGTGACCCCAGTGCCAGCGGGGGCACGGCTTTTGGGGGTACAGACCCCAGGACCAGCGATGGCACAGCTTTTGGGGATACATAGGCCCTGGTGCCAGTGGAGGCACAGGATTTTAGTGTGCTCTGACCCCAGTACCTGAAGGTGCAATCTTAAAAGGCCAGGGAGGCCTGGTGAACCTGAAGTGCAGTTTTTGTCTTGTTTTTTGTTTTCTTTGGACTGGGAAAGTGCGAGTGTGGGGCCATTCCCTGGCCTTGAACTTGCAACTGTGGTGAGCATGTTTGTTATTACCCTGAAATAGAATAGTTTTCTGATAGCATATTGTTAGGTTAACAATAATTTGGATTATTAAGAAGTATTAGCTTTGCAGCTGAATACAAGGCATGACCTGTGGCCTAGCAATGC